GAATGTCGGGGAGGATGTGAAAGATATTTAAGAGGTAAAGGGACAGGGCTTGATGATGGGGTGTGACACTGGTTGGGGTGCAGGGGTGCGGTTCTGGCCAGTGAGGGAGGCAACTGTAAGCGCACAGGCTCACAAAGCCTGCCCCTGTGCTCCTCCTTAGCACTACCTGAGGTCCAGCACAGGACAGGAGGAGGGGTGGGGTTACTTCCCTGTGAAGGGCGAGCACAGGACCCACCCCTTTGTTTCTGATCAGTGTTCTCACTTGACCTGCACCCAAAGAGTTAATACTGAGTGCTTATTCATTGGTTCAAACTTTTGTAAGAGAACAGCTGGAGTTCAAAGAAATTGGAACTCGGTATCTATCCATCAGGAAGGTGACTTCATGAGGTACCAGTGTCCAGAGGAGCAGCACAGACCTAAAGGAGGCAGAAACTGGCGGTGTCTTGTGCCTCAGTGTGATCTGCACCGTCTGCTGGTCAGTCATCTGGAGCATATGAGAGAGAAACACCAAATTTCCAGGCATCAGGCTGCATCTGAACCACCTGGTGGGATATTATACTGCCCCCAGATAATTCTTGTGAACGCTCCAGCTTGAAAATGACTGTTTTGGTGGGTATAAAAGTGGCCCTGAATAGATCCCAGAGGGGGCCAATCATAATTCTGTGTTTCCAGAAGAAGGAAAAAAAAATCTTGAGTTTTCAGATTAGTTTCTCCGCCCTCAACAGAAGAAGAAGAAAAAAAATGTGCTTTGGCAACACTGCCATGAAAAACAACCAGAGAAGGTGACTCCTACACAGCGGAATTGTTCAGGAAGAACCACACTGCACTGACAATAATCAATTTTAATAACTGAGGCTAATATGTTTTGGATAGCAGACAAGAATAAATTAAAGTGAAGCTCATAAATGACAGGGTGATGAACAACATGTCTTCAAAGAACCAAACAATCTTTTAATTGAAAGTTGGATTTTTTTCCTGAACACTGTCCCCCACCCACCCACCCACCCAGCAGGGTACTCACAGTGCTGTAACATATATTTTATAAATGGAAACTACCCAAGAGGCCCTGGCATTTGGGGGAATCATGGCCAGCCTGTGGGGGCATGGAGAAAGGAAAGGTGGCCWGTCTCACAGATGCAGGACCACTGGGTCATTGCAGTGGTTCTCAGTGGGAGTGGGTAGCTTTGATCCCAGAGGACATTTGGCAAGGTCTGGAGACGTTTCTGGTAATTAAAATTAGTGGAGATGCAGTTGCCATCTACTGGGTAGAGGCTGGGGACACTACTAAACACCCTGCAGTTCATACGATAGCCTCACACAATAAAGAATTATCTGGGCCAAAACATCAACAGTGCGGAGAGTGAGGGTGACCAGGCTGAAGAAGAGAACAGTTTGTGAAGCGATGGAGAGAGGAGGGACGCTTGCTTCAGGATGCGCTGGAGGTGTGCTGGGACTCTGCACAGACATTTGCAAGAGTGTCCACTTATGTGGAGGGAAAACCACTCCCCTGCGCCAGCTGCGTGCCAACTCACCTCTCTTTAGCACCGCTAATCACCACATGCATGGTTTTACACTGTGCTTCCCATACTGTCCTGTTACTCTCAGAGGTGAAACATCTTTAAAAAAAATTGTTAGTACATGAAATGATGACCTGGGTGAAGAAATGATATGGAAACCTTAAATCTTAAACATATTCTAGAACCTCCTCTTTTCCAGATGGAAGCTTGGTGATTTAACTGGTGGTGGAAGGGAGATACTCATCACATCCCTTTCTCTAGAAGTTAAGTCCCTAAACAGCACAGCTGTCTTGTTTGAGGTAACAATGGTGAATGCTTCTCTTTGCTATTGCTTTCCTACCTAAAATTCAATCATTGATCACTAAACATGTGCTCTCCCCTACCTTTGTCTCTCTGTGGATGCACATGCAAAATGAAGAAAAATATTTTTAAGATTATGCATTCTATTTTTTGTAAAACACTGGTTTTTTAAAAAAGAATCTGCTCTAAAAAAGGTGCTTGCTGCCTGTTTTCCTGGCAGAAGCACACATAGAGATGAACACATTTCCTCATGCATGTGTCKTACTGGGGGACAGCTCATATACAAATAGGACAGCCGGCCTTTTGAAAAATAGGAAGAAAATAAAACAGTACATTCTATAGTGAGAGAAGAACAAGGAAGAACTCTGATGTTGCTCAGAGCTCCACAATGTTCCTGTGACACACTTACTAAAGCCCCTCTTAACCTCAGTCACTTTCTCTCCTGCTGTTTTCATAGAATAAATCGTGAGATTTATTAAAAATGATCTATTAAAAAATGATCACTATTGCAAAGTCTCACAGTGAAGTGAATGAACAAAACTCAACATCTGAAGACATTTTTTTGCTTCACATTTTCTCCTCCTAACTTCATAGAATATGGTTTGCTATTCATGTGCTCTGCTTGTGACCGTTTATGTGATATGTTGCTGAGTACCCAGATTTAAAGCTGGGAAAGGATTTGCCTTTTGGGTTTGTACTGTAGTTGGACAGACGGAGAAATTGGCCAGCATTCTTTCTGGTTATCAGTAAAAGCTGCCTCCTTTCTCTTAGAATGCTGTAACTATTATCTTTGAAAACTACATGCCTTTCTGTCCTGTGAGTTGAGCTGGCTTGGTCCTTTCTACTCTCAAAACCGTGTTTTGGGTCACATGGGAACTATACAGTCATAATAATGCTTATGTAATAACCAACCAGTACATGTTAAGGATAATTATGAATGAGGGTGGAAAACACAAGAGTCTTTTTCCAGAAGCCATGTGTCTCTCTTTTTACTACTAGTCTTTCTGATTTCTGTAATTTATGGCAAGACTAGCGCATGTTCTCTTCCTTCACCTACTCACTATCTTCCGTCCCTCCCTCAAATACRGCCAGTATGGTCTGTTTCCATCAGTCCACTAAAACCGCTCTTGCCAAGTTTACCCAAGGACCTCACTGCAATCTACTATCAGCTAGGTTTTGTCTTTATTTTACCTAATCTTCTCCTTCTTAGCATAACATCCTCCATGTTTGGTTATTTTAACTTAAATAACTTTTCTTAAAAGTTGTTTCTCAGGTATCTCAGTCTGCTTCTGAGCCTAAGGGCTACATCACTTACAGAAAGAAAGAAGAAAAGGATTCAGAAAAGACYCTGAAAGAAACAACAGGGAGGAAAGCAGGAGCTGGTGAGGCGAAGTTCCTCGAGCCAGGTCAGACACTGCAGTCCTGGGCGACGCCCTTCTTCCTCCACTTGAGCCATGAGACATCTGTTCTGTACTCTCATGAACTTCCACTTGACCCATTTCTTTGATAACTAACTTAGCTATTTCTCCTCTAGGTTACTAGATGGTCCTTGAGGGGCCTTTCTGCTTCTCATAGTATCTTCTTCTAATGCTTTTATCATATGGCAATGGAATAATTTTTAAAGTGCAARTATGATTATATCACTTTTCTGCTTAAAAACTACTGTCCTAAAGACACCCAGGAACCGCTGAAGCTTCCAAAATCATGCACATGACAAATAGGCCTGGAATGGTTTGAAAGTCCCCCCCTAAAACTCATATTGAAGTTTACCTTCCAGAGAGTATTGGAGGTGGGACCTTTCAGAGGTGATTAGGCCATGAGGGGCCACCCCCTGTTGAGAGTGGGTTAGTTATCATGGGAGCAGTCTGCTCTAAACCTGAGGCTGAGGTGCTCGACTTTCTCCTGCTCATGCCCCTCACCAAGTCATGCCCTCGGTGACGTTAAGACTCTGCAAGAAGGCTTGATATCCGACTTCCCAGCCACTAGAACTGTAAGGAGGTAAATTAATTTTCTTTATAGATTCCCCAGGCAGGGGTACTCTGTTACGGCAGAACGGCCTAAGACAAGCCTTTCATGATTTTGCCTACCTCCACAGGGTCCACTTCTGACTTTTTCTCAACACCACTCAGGTCATGTTAGGTAACTTGGTGTGGCTCCTGCACCCCAGTCTCTCTCCTCTGGACCTCTGTTCCTCTGCCAGATCACCCTGTTATCTCGTCCCACACCTCACCTATTTCTCATCCTTTAAGCTTCATGGAATATATCACACCTCTTCTTCACCTCCAAGGCCACCCTAGCTGTCCTGCCTTGTGCCCACATGGCCTTAACCCTTCCTGTGTAGCTATCAAGTGCTTCATTTGTATTTGCCATCCTTCAGGAGAGGATCTGGGTTTCATCTGTCTTTCTAGATCCACAGCCTAAAACCATCTTTGCTATACAGTAGGGACATAACATTTACTAAATAAATGTCATTGATAATTGTGCTATGAAGGAGGGGAACAACAGCTAGTTAATACCAAAGCATTCATTGATCATAATCAGATTAAGTGATTTCTATTGTTACAGCAATAAGAGCTCCACAGAGACATCAAAGTAGCTCCAAAATCCTTGACTGGTCAATGTCATCAGGGGTACTGCAGAGAGGGTTAAAATTGGCAGAGCCTCAGAACAGAGTTTTTAATGAAAAGATGACAAAATTTGACAATTTTTTTTTTTAGAAAGATTAAGAGAATTTTATGTAAATACATGTGGAACAGAGCTCTGATGCACTTTGTCTTGATTAGCTTAGAAAATGCAAATATTCCACTCACCTCTTCTAAGGGGTAAGGAAGGCCTTTCCTGCTCTACTGTGAACAGGGGAATCCCTGAAAATGTTTTTAAATCTCTAGCACCAAATATGGTAAATGCTCAATTAAATGAACTAATAATCAATGGATGAAAAGCTTGCTAACAAGCCACGACATCACCCCAGTTTTAGCCAGTTAAAAACAAAAACAAAAAAACAAACCAGGAAAGTATAACTGAAATGCAAAATATACTGGTATATTACATTTTGCCCCATTTATACAACATGGGGCAAGGTCTTCCATCTGCTTTCCAATAATGGAGAGCATTATTCATATACAAATATTAGCAAAATTACAAAGGACTTCTTTCCAGGCACAGCAACATCAAATGAGTTACCTGAGATAATTTTGTCGTGGTGGCAGGCAGAAGCGGGCGGCTAAACTTCTTCTGAGAACCAATGGCTGCTGGAAACGGTGGTGCAGAAAAGACAGCTGCAACACAGTTGATTTTGCTTATCCACCCCTGCATCTCCTCTGGACTCCTATGAGAAACAATCATGAATATGTCAGGCTATTCCTGTGTCTAAGTGCATCACACCTTGCCCATTGCTTATTGATGATATAAAATGGCACATGAAATCATTTATTCTTGGTACAGTTAATCACTGACACAACCCCATTGGAGGTTAACAGTCTCAACAGCAATCACCAGGCAGTGGAAGGCACTGGAATCCTGAAGCCTATCTATGGTCATCAAAGGATAAGCCTATGACTATGCTCTGAGGATACAGAAGGAAAAAAGGAGAAATGTATTCATTAAAATACTTTCTGTTGGAAACTAACTTAGGCCAAAAGTTAATTAAAAATTTAATTCATCTCTTTTACTCACATATTTTTATTTTAAAATCTGACTGAAGCATACAGTCAGATTTTAAAGCATACCCACTTTGGAAAAGTTTGGTAGTTTCTTCAAAAGTTAACTATAAATTTATCATACACCACAGCAATTCCACTACTTTGTTGGTACCCAAGATAAATAAAACATAAAGCTACACAAAGATTAGAATATCAATTTTCATGACTTCCTTATTCCCAAGAATCAAAAAAGGGAAACAAATCCAAGYGTCCATCAACTAGTGAGTGGATAAAACAAAGAGAGATAAATCTATATAAACAGTATTCACCAAAAGGGTGAAATACTGATTYATGTTATACACAGCATGGATGAACCCCCAAAACATGAAGTGAAAGAAGGCAGAAATAAAAGATCACAAGTTGTATGATTCCATTTACGTGAGTAGTCCAGGAAACAATAGGACAGAGACAAAAAGAATTATCRGATGTCTGGGGCTGGAGATGTGAATGCAGGGTGACTACAAAATAGGGCACTGCTCTGGAACGAAGGAATGTTGTAAAACTGGACCGTGGGGCCAGCTGCACCATTCTGTACATTTAGTAAAAATTGTTAAAATATACTTTCAAAATGGGAGAAATTATGGTAGATAAAGTGGAGCTTCAAAATGCTAAAAAATGTCCATCTGAGAGGAGGTGGAAATCATTTGATATCATATTTTTAATTCACATGCCATTATATCCAGAAAGCCCCTCACTGACAACACTTAATATCTGTGACTTCATAAATGAGGGAAAGAAATGGTCACGAAACAGAAAAGATTATCCGCCATGCATATGTCCAACAAAAAGGTGAAATGATCATTTAATCACTGCCTTTACTGACTACTCCAAAAGAACCCCACTAACCTGAGACTGTGCTACATATTAATTCCTCAGTACAGCCAATGTGTGTTTCTAGTTGAATCCCTCCAACTGACGAATTTTTGTATGGGTTCTACCTGAGTAACTAGATCTCCTTAAGTATTATATCAGATATAAAAAATACTAGAGAACAGAAGAATTTAAAATATCCTTTCCACCTAATAGCTGTTATTACACATTTGGTTATGAGTCCCTTTGTAGAATATCCTAGTCCCAAATTCAAAAACTCTGTGTCACTTGTTTTCACACAGAACCTCATGTCAGCAATTTTACTCCTTCACAAGTTCAATGACCATAAGCCTCCAGAGGTCTAGCTCTTGCTCTCATTTCTCTYTTTTTCTGATCTTACCTTGCCTTGATCAGGAATAGAGATAGATACTTGTACTATCTTGATGTCAAACTTGAATTTAGTTTGGGTCAGCTGATAATATGATGTTGAAGGTGATTCTAGAGTTAGGCTCAATCCACGAATCATTAACCCTGTCCTGCTCTAGAAGCTCCATTCTGAAAACCCAAAGTTCCTCACTTCACAAGTCCAGGATTCTTCAAGTGGAATGCTCTGCTACTAATCTCAAGTCTGTCACTGGCCCTCTCATTTCCTTATGCACAAATATGATTTGCATTCCGAAGGAAAACGAAACAAGGGAACAGGATGAAGATGTTCGCTTATAGAGCAGTTTCTCCACACCAGGCAACCTGGGGTGCACTTAATACATTTATCGAATCCCCACCAGGACCCACTGAGACAAACATGATTACCCACAGCAGCTACACACCAAGGTTCACAGAGGTTAAAAATTATGTGCCTCAAGCTAGGAAATGGTGATTTGAATCTTGGACTACTTTACTCATGTTATGAGAGAACTTGTCTACTAAAACTCTCCCATCTTATTAATGAGGACACTGAGCTCTAGAGAGGGCAAAGAGCTTACTAAAAGACACAGGGCTACTTTATAGTGCACAAAAAACTAGAACTCAGGGTTCTATGTTTTTGTGTTAATTTTCTTAGGCAGCTGTCTTCCCTAACGAAACCAGTTCATGACATTTGACTACAACTCAACAAATTTCTCCTACAGAACCTGATTCTATTCCTTAGCATAAAGCAGTGGCAAGCAAACTGAAAACCAAAACGAAGTCAGGTGTGGTGGCTCATGCCTGTAATCCCAGTGGCTTGGAAGGATGAGGTAAGAGGATCTCAAGTGCAAACCAGCCTTAGCAATGGCGAGCTGCTAAGCAACTCAGTGAGAACCTGTCTCTAAATAAAATACAAAACAGGGCTAGGGATGTGGCTCAGTGGTTGAGTGCCCCCGAGTTCAATCCCTGGTACTCTAAAAAAACCCAAACCCAAACCAAACCAAACCAAACCCAACCCCAAACCAAGTAAGAACCAAACCAACAACACATACTGAGTTTGAAACAGCAAGACCCTCCAGTCGGCAGTTTTTAGCTTAAAGACGTTGGGCTTCTTCTCGTAGTCGGTGGCCTTGGATGCCAGGGCGTGGTGCACACTCACGGCATTTTTCAAGTCCTCCTCGGACAAGGCCTTTTCTGGCTTATATTCATCCTACAGATAGGCACAGAGAAAGCAAAGACAAGAGTGTGAGATGAGATTCTCTTTTTAAAACCTAATGGTAAAAAATTTTAAAGTCCATAAAAGTGCATGAAAAAAAGTGAAATGAATGATGAGTAAGAATTTGCAACTTCATAAAAGTCAAAGGGTATCACAATGTACCAAACATTTGCTACCAATGAGTACCTAAGAGGCATTAAAAAAAATTCTGAAATATGATAATTGAGGCAGAGAGGTAAGGAAGGGCTATCTATCACCTGCATTTTAAAGTCATGTGAAATGAGGCTAGATTTGATAGTTACTGTGAACTGGCTTTGAGTTTAGATGGATAAATGCAAAAGTGGGAAGAAATCCATCAACACAATTATAAAGGAAAGTGGAAACACAGCCACTGTGTTCTTTGCTCTAAAAGACACTACATTTTCCTGCTGCTTTCTTTTCTGGAGCTTAATATTACCAGAAGAAAAATGAAAAGTAAGTAAAATAAGAATGACATGATCCAGCTCTTCTGTTGAAAGTAAAAAATCAATTTAATAAACAAGAGAAAGCTTAGCTCAATTGCCATACTTTTTTTTTCTGAAAATTCAACATTACATAAGAAGGCAGGTGACATACACAAATGCAATTTTATTTCTGGACATCAAATGCATAATTCGTAGAATTTAAAAAGGGTCAGTGCGGAATCCCTTAAAAATATCAACAACAGAAAACTCCAAAAATTGTGCTCTATATGTGTAATAAGAATTGTAATGCATTCCACTGTTGTGTATTTACAAAAAACAATAAAAATCAATAAAAACCCAGAAAACTCTAATTAGTAGAATTAGAATTTAAAACAAGTTTGTTACTACCTATATATTGCATATGCTATGAATTGTTACAGGAGACTGACATCCAGAGTTCAAGGCCCCTCTTCCCATATCTTATAAAAAAGGGTGAATAAACTTGTATTTCTCCTATAAAGAAAACACACTCACACACTCATGACCCCCCTTTAATTCACAGGAAAAGCCTAAGGGAAGATTATTCTCTTACTGGTTTCACAAAATTTCAGAAAAACAATTAAAATCTCTCTATATGTAATGATCTCTATATCATACACAAATCAAGCAATTCAAATGTACTAAGGTTGCTAATTCAAACTGAAGTTTTATTTTTATCACATTAATGATCAGTGTCAGAGGCAGTCCTGGAAGGCAAAAATTTTCCGTTTAAAATACAAAGCAAATACCAGTAGCAAAATAAAGATTACCCAAACTTATAACACTACATGACAATGTTTCCACATTGGGATTCCCACAAGTCTTATTTTGTTATGCCTCAGAAGTCGCAAACTGCTGTTGACACTGCCAGTCTTCTAGAAAGATAACATAATCAAGAAAAGGAAAATACAATAATAAGTACAGGAGGTTTACATGTTCTCTGTTCTTACATAATTGCTGCTAATTCACACAATTATGATCTAGTTATGATTTGAAGTCTTTCTTGTTCTTTTAAAAAGGGGTCCCTGCCCCTTACCCCCCCTGCCCTAGTGATTTAGCATTCCCAAGACCCATGACTCTTCTTCCAGGGGAATTTTTATTAGAGCTGGAGTTTGAAGACGAGGTGCATGATTACAAAATCTGCTCCAGTCTCAGGATGACGCCATGAAAAAAAACCCTGCCCCTGCCTGTCTGGTCCACTGCCCAATGTGACCACTTAGTTTCTAGACAGGAATCTGAGGCAGATAAATAATGGGAAGGGAAGAAACGGACCAGGGTCAAAGTGACCTTCAGAGAATTAGTATGCTGCCTCCATTTCCACACGTGCTGATCTGCTAACAGCTGATATTTCAGTTTGCAGAGCAAGTAACCTAAAAATGTATGTGTGCCCTTTGTGCTATTCTAGGTCAATGAACTGGGCTTTTATCTTAATTCCTCTTCTCTACTTTTTAGTTGTTGTTGTCTGACTTTCTTAAGATGACTATTTAGCTCCTTTGTTCTTCATATTTCTTTAAGAATTTAAGGTTATGTTTCTTCTTTGAGTATGAGTCATAATGTGTAATGGTTTGGAAATAAAATGCAGTTTTTTATTGCTTTCTAGATAGTCTGTAATTTTAACTTTTTAAATCTCTCCTTTAATCTTAATAGTATCAAGAAATGTGGTTCTCACATTTAAGGCACTTAAAATTTTAGTTATTTACCATTATAGAGTTCTAAGCTTATGGGCTTGTGACCAGAGAATGTGATCTATAAAAGGTATATTTCCCCAAAATTTATTACAGGTATCTACATGTTAACTTTTTCTTAACGTTCCATGGGTATGCTAAAAGCTTATTATTTGAGGGATGAATGTTTATATTCAACTTTACTGACTCAATTCTACTATGTCCTTGCATTTTTTTTTGCCAGTTCACCTCTTGATACAAGTATACTGATCATGTCTACTGTGGATTTCAAGTTCTCCTTGTGTCTTTTCTAAAAATTTTATGCATTCTAATTTGTTATATGACAGCAGAAAGCAATTCAATTCACATTACACAATTAGAGCATAATTTTTCATGTCTCTGGTTATATACAGAGTCAYAGCATTTGTGTTTTCATACGTGTACTTAGGGTAATGATGTCCATCTCATTCCACCGTCTTTTCTGCCCCCATCAAGTTCTCCTTGTGTTTTGAACAGCACTTGTTTTACACTTTAGTTACTATGCTGTTTGGTGCATTTGGGTTTATAATTATTACTTTCCTCATAACTATGTATTATCATTTTAAAATATTCTTCATCCTGCTCAGTGCTTAATCTTACATGATGAAAACTTATAAGAATCTCTCCCATAAAAATGCTCTATTTCTTTATTCCTTGCACATTTCTAAATAGATTTTGAAAGACATTTTCGACCCATCTCCCTCTTCCTCATTAATCCTAAAGTTTGCCAAAGCTGTTTAGTACATTTGTTCTGCAGTCTTACTAAAATTATCTTGTATTATGCACTTTGTTTCAAAAGACTTATTTTGTACTTACATTACACATTCCCTGTCTCTCCTATTCCTTTATTCTTCTAGATTTAATTGTGTCCATGTTTCCTGCTCATCTGTTTGCTTTCTTTTTTCCATTCTGACATCTCCATTCTAACCCCTTATTATTTTCTCTTCTCTCAAGTATTTGCTTCAGGTGGGTAATGTGCTCTTCAATCTTCTCAAATCTTTCATTTTCTCTGACAGGTACAGAATTGCGTATGGAACTTGTGCTTGCAATCCTTGCTACTCATGTCACATATAGTCTGGAGATGCTATTCTATTTCATCTAGCTTCCAATTTTACAAAAGGCCAATGCTGCTCTGATTCTTATTTTCCCTTTCTTATCCCTTCCTTTTCTGTTTGGAATCTCAGAGTCTTCCATTTATACTTAGAATTCAGGAATTTCGGCTAGGACAGGCCTTAATTTTCTCATCTATCCAGTCTAAACCTGGAAAAGTCCACCCTGATTCTCCCCTATGTGACCGCTCCTATGTGAACTGCTGGGAGAGATAATGAACAACTGTGCAGACTTCCTAGCAACACATGGGGTCCCAGCTTGCGCTGCACTCAGTGTCAACTGGTAATTCTTCTACACATCCATGATCATCTCTCTGATTTCCACAACACCCTAATTCACCACAAGTGTGGTTAAGAGCTCGAGTACCTGGAGTTAAAACCACTATGTTCAAAGATCTCGTTGTAAATTTCTCTGTGCCAGGTTTAACTCGTTAAGCTCCAGTGTCCTTTTATAAAGAAGTAGTGATAATACCTTTAAAAACAGAGTTGTATTAAACGATACTGTTTTCTGAATTAATTATGTTCAGAGCATAAATATGTTCTCAAAAAATGCTAATGTAATTATTAAGAATAATGTTTTTTTAGTAGCATATCATTTCACCTTGTATTTTCTTTTGTTGTGTGTGGTGCTGGGTATTGAGCCCAGAGTCTCTCACATGCTAGAAAGGTGCTCTGCCACTAAGCTGCACAAGCACTGGATCTAGCTCTATCACTGAACTAATACAATTGAGACAGCAAGCTAAGTTGCTGAAGCTAGTCTTGAACTTGTGATTCTACAGTCTCAGTCTCCCAATAGCTGGGATTACAGGCATGTGCTACCATGCCTGAAAAAAATCTGTAAATATCAAACTGTGCTGTGCCTGTATACTGTAAAGATACCTATATTTGACCTTATTTATCTTCTCTTCTCCAATAACAGAAGAACCTTTTGCTCTCAGTTCAATMTCCAGTAAGCTTTCCTAGGATCCTGTTTCATTGCCTATTATTGTTCTTCTATACTTTTAATCATTCTTTATCTACTGGTTTCTTCCTGCAGTCTATAAATACACATAATTTCTTTATTATCTTGAGGAGAGCCCCCCCACTACTGCTTTCTTTGCTGGTTGCCACTCCTCTCTCATCCTTTTCACCTGGCGTCACAGTTCATACTGTTTTTATACACTGGCTTCCAGTTTATTCTGGAGTCCACCTCTATGCTTTAGTAAAACTGCTCTGATAAAGGTCAGCAATAACCTCTATTGTAAAATTCAATTGACTCCTTTCTGGTTTCATCTGGTGGCACCCTAAGAAGTCAATTCTTCCTTGGCTTATCATTATAAAATTCACCTGGCTTCTCTCCTCCCTCTCATTACTTTGCTCTTTCCTCTTCAGTCTGCTATTCACATGTTCTCCTCAGGATGTTCACAACTACTTCTACAGTCTCATCTCCTTCTTACATGTTTATCAAAACACAGTGGATAATAAGAAACACAAGACCAACTGGTACCTATTAATACTGAGTAACTTAGACCTTCCTTAGCTCTTTGGAACCATTCACTACGAATATTCTTGGAGCATATTCTCTTTGCTATTTTCATTTAAAATCAAGCTTAAAGGATGACATTCTTAGACTGCTCTAAAACTGCAAATTTTATAAAATGCTATATTTTTTATGGACCTAAGTACAAGAAAATAATAATAGTCCCTTTTTGCTGTGGTTT